AATTGTTCATTCAAACACAGCAATTTGTCCTCTAGGAAACACCTCTGCCTGTCCCTGGAGCTGCTCAGCAAACCCAGGAATTCACCCTTCTGCTCTCCCTGCTGGCTGCCACTGGCTTCTCTTCTACCCTTTCTCATCTGAAACACACCTGCAAAAATTGTTTTCCTCACCTTTCCTTCAGACTGGGATTAAATCCTACCTGTTTCAGGGAAAACCTTCATAAAAAAATTCTGTTCCCACCAGGGAGGCCCTACAAAAAGCTTGACTCTTTCCTTCCTGTCCTCCTGGATGCAAACATGCTGATCTGCACTTTGCCAAGCTGCTAGCGACTCATTTGGCTCCATCTTCCCTAAAAAGGAGATCCAACAGGAAAAACATAAAGCACTCCTTTTTAACAAGTGACATTTGCAGCCCCTAAACCTCCCCCCCATGACGTTTATGAATGTTTTTCTCATGTGAAAAAGCCACCAAGCTCCCAGTGGCTCCGTGCTGCACTTCCCCATCCCGAGGAATCCCAAAACAAGCACAGGGATCCCAAACTCTGCTGGGTTTTCCCACCTGGGAAGACACACAGAGCACAGGGAGCAGGATCCCAGCCCTGCCTTTCCCTCCTGGGTGTGTTTTCACCTGCAAGCAGCCTGGAGGAGCATTCCCATTTCCCATCTGCACGGCCCAGGCTGGGACAGCTCCCACCTGTTGACTTTGTGTGGGAAGCTCAGCAGCCTCGCCCAGAACTGAAGCTGTTCCAGCATTTAAACCTCTTCCCACATGGAAATCACCACCTGGAGCAGCAGTTCCGTGTGGCACTGTCACCCCAAAGGCTGCTGGGGCTCTTTTATCCTGCACATTTGGAGTCCTGCATGCTGAGAATTTGAAACTTTCTGTGCTGAAGGGCACAGAGCCACAAGAAAATACTAAATTTGACCTGAGGCCATGGAGAAAGCTTCCAAAATTGAGACATAGCACTGGGATTACAGGTGTGGAGTTTGATTAGAAGTCTGTAATATCACAGAGTGGAAAACTTAGAGTTTAAGGCTTTAGAATATAACTATACATGGGGCTAGACAGAAGTTCTTGGGCAATGGCTAGTTGTTCTTCTTCACCACCTGCTTCATAAGTTTAAGTAGCATTTTGTAATTAGACATTATGGACTTCGAGTGATTAGTTATTAAGCTAAAAGTAAAAATAATTTAGGTGTCATTTATTAATTAGATAGTTTAGCCTTAAAGGACCTTGTTAAAAAGATAGTTGGCCATTTTGTAGAATGCTGCAGAACTCCCCACTTGTAATATAAATAAGAACCAATAAACACCTAAATCTGAACACAAAATACCATCTCAGGAGCTTCAATCCCAGCCTTGAGAGAAGCAGAAAAAAGAAGCCAAAACCCAGCAGCACTGACACCTCCTTCCTGGACCTGTGAGAGCTGGGAGCTCTCTAATCCCCCAGCCCACGTCAGAGCCTAATGCTCCTCACAGATCCTGGCTCAGCCCTGGACACAGCCCCCTCTGCCTGTGTGGAGAGCAGGGTTGGGTTTTTGGGATGGAGAAGGGCAGGACTGGGGGTGGGCTCTCACAGTGGCCCCTTTTGTGCTCTCAGGAGCATCTCCAGCAGCACAGGGAGGAGAGCCAGCAGGAAAATCAGCTCTGGGGACAGAAAAGAGGAGCCAAGGGGGACAAGCAGGATCCACTGGATCTCTGGCTGGGCCAAGCTCCTGTCTGTGGAATCAATTCCCTGGTTATGGCTTGATCCCACATCCTCCACAGCTTCTTCTTCCTTCCCAACTCTTCCCATGCTCCTCATTCATGCCCTGGTTTGAATCCCAGCTGGAGCTGGAGCGTTCCACTCCTCTCACCTTGTCAAGAACCTTGGACTGGTGCTGTTAAACCCTGCCTGGGCAGGGAGCTGCCGTGCCCCTCCCAGGCAGCCCTGCAGGCTCAGCCCTGCCAGCAGCCTCATCAATATTTCAGGATGCAGCCGGGAAGCCCTGGCAGCCCTCAGGGCCCCACGGATCAATGGCAAACAAAAGGCTGCAGGAGGAGGAGGAGGAGGAGGAGGAGGAGGAGGAGGATGCTCCAGCCCCAGCTCCTTCCAACGCTCACCGAGCTCCTCTCACTCCAAAAGCAGCTCCAGGGCACAGAGTTTTTCTTAGCAGAGCATTTCCCAGCATTTTCAGGGACTGGTGCTGCCACACTCCCCCCTGCACTTGCTCTCCACATTCCTCTGTTCAATACCAAGCACTTAGGAACAAAAACATCTGAGGCTCCAAGCCTGGGGTCACCAGTTCCTGCAGCCCCACTCAGACAGATGCTCCTGAGGAGCAGGAAAACCATAATGCACTCAGCTGGTTTGACACTGCATGGCAGCAGGAGATCCTGTTTCCTTCAGCTGGGAATGGAACAGATCACAAGATTACCCACAGCCCTTCTGCAGGGCAGCCACGTTCCTGGGCTCCCTGCAAGATATCCAGCCCTAGATTCCATGAAAATTCAGAGGTCTCCTCTTTTTAGCCATCTTGGTTGTCTTGTGTTGTTGTTATTATTCAGATAATTCCAGAGAAGGGATGGGAAAAATGCCATAGTGAGAGAGAAATGAACAAACAAATTTTAAACAAAGAGAGTAATTACACTAAATGGCTAAAATCAGGAATGAAACACCTTGCCTGACCTCCAGACATTTTCACAGAAATCATGGAATGCTTTGGGTTGGAAGTGAGTTAGAGATCATCTCATTCCTGCCATGGGGACACCTTCCACTACATCCCAGGTCGTTCCAAACCTGTCCAACCTGGCCTTGGACACTCCCAGGGATGGGGAGGTGTCAAACTATCTCCTTTACCTTATCAATAAGATGGAGATAAATTTCTATCCTAGCCTTCCAGATAGGTTTTTAGGTATCAAACTATCTCCTTCACCTTATCAATAAGATGGAGATAAATTTCTATCCTAGCCTTCCAGATAGGTTTTTCCCTCAGAAGAGTCCTGCAGAAGGGTCAGAGCATTCCCAGAGAGAAGTGTTTATTGGGAATATTCAGCAAATTAAGACCTTGCAAGTAAAAAGGAAAAGGGGGAATTTGCTGGTCAGGACCATTCTGGCTCTGGCAGTTTTCCCCAAATCACTCCCAATTCCACCTCCTCTGGACAGAAGGGCAGGGAGTGGATTTCTCCTGCTGCATCCATCAAATGGTGTCCAGGAGGATGCTCCCACTCCCAGCCCGGCCACGGAGATAAATCCTGCCGGCAGCAAATCCATCTGCTCTGCTCCCCAGACACAGACAGCAGCAATGGATACCAGCATCTCCTCCATCCCTCAGGGAGATATCTTAGCTGGTTACGTAAGGAAGCAACAGCATGGAGCTTCCAAGGACTCCAAAGCCCTTCCCCTTAATACCGGCGGAGATTAGAGCAAATCGAAGCAGAGTGGAAACCAGGCTGTGGGCGAGGTTGTGCTCACAGGAAAATGCTGCAGTCTCTCCTCTTAATGCACTCTAAATCCCATCTGATTTCCAACTCGGCTGCTAGGAGAAAAAAAAAGGAGAAAAAAAAAAGCCCAGCCTGTATTGAAATGATGTCAGTGCTGGGAGAGTGAGGTGGAGTGACTCAGGGAGGGTGTGGACAAGGGCAGTTTTAGGGGAAGCATCCAGAGGAATCCAGACTGTGAAAGCATTTTGGAGGCAGAGCAGAAGGAGCCAGGGGTGCGGATCTGCTTTTCCAAATCTGATTAGTTGCTGGTTTTGAGCATCCAGGGTCAGATCGTGCCTCTGATAAACACACAGCACTTATCGCCCTCACAATAAACACAATCCTGCTCTTCCCTCGGTGCCAGATGCATGCCCAGCTCCGGGGACAGGGATTTCCCTTCGTTTCTGCTCCCTCTTCAGGCTGGCTGACTCCACAGCAAGGGAACCAAACCAGCTCAGAGCCAAATTGCTCTTCCCTCCTCTGCTGCAAACTGATCATGGATGTTTCACACGGAGCACACTCCTGGCTGGGTGAGGATTCTGATGGAAGGCAGCCCTCACCTGAGCAGGGTTCTGTTCTCATGCAAAGTGACAGTTCTGGCACCCAGCCACACGTGCTTGGCCCCTCTTTGACAATTCCTGTCCAAACAGTCCCACCCTCAAGGCTTCTTTAGAACTTCACCCTTTGCGCCCTTTTCCGGCTGATTTTGACACACCTCCTTCCACCTAACCCAAACAACCAGTGGGTTCCTTGGGTAATTCCATAACAACCAGTCTGAGCTTGGGAGTTATCCCAGAGTCAGGCTGGAAAAGACCTCTGGGATCACTGAACCCAACCTACGACCCAACACCAAAGCATCCAGGTGTTCCTTAAACACCTCCAGGCTCAGGCAGAAGCACAGAGCGATTGGAGGCAATGGATGAGCCCCAACGAAGCACATTTTCACATTCCATTCATCTCTTGAACTGGATTTTATAGATTTACAGTTTTCTTTCTAGTTTCAAGAGCTGCAAAAGTCACCAGACTTGGCAGAAGGCATAGAACAGGTGAGAAATGCTACAGAGAACCCCTGGAATCAAGAGGTCGACTGTGGTGGCAAGATGGAAAATGAAGCAGGAGGAAAACGACCTGAGGCTGACTCAGGAACAGCCACCAAGCACAGAAAAAAAGCCTTGAGAAGGGCAGGAAATAAGTGATAAAATGGTGGTTTAAGAGTTCTGGAGATGAGTTTATGATGATCAAGGCTGGTCCTTCCTGTGCTGGGCACAGACACACATCACAGAGCAGTTTTCCCAAAAAAACTAAGGATGTAGAGCAGGGGAGGGAAAGATCAGAGCCACCAACACCATGGAAGCCAACAATGAGTTCAAACTCCCATTCCACCCTGAGATTAAAACTCACAAGTGGTCAGTGCCCCCCTGAGTGAGGGGGGAGTATTTTACCCCCAAACCGTGCCATTTCAATAAAAAGAGAGGAAAAGACCATTTTAAAGAGCCTAAATAAAAACCAAAGCAAACCAAACCTTGGCAGAGGCCTTACCATTGGCATCCTGGACTCCTGTGAGTGCCCCCACTGCTGCTGCAGTTTCCCCAGACAGGACAATCTGTCCCCCTCCTTGAAGGGTGGCCTCGGCCAGCGTGGCTACGGCGTGGGCAGCGGCTTCACTGCAGAGGGGAGACAAGGGTTAGGGCAGCAGAGAAACAAATCATTCCATTTTAAGCAGCAAACACACGCCAGGAGAGCAGCCCAGAGCAGAGGGATTCCCACCTGGCCTGGGTGAAGTGATGCACAGCAGGAAATCAGCACTGCAGGAGGAATGGATGGACAGAAGCTCTTCTGGTGGATTTTTTTCGGGTGTCTTAGAAAAGCCCTGTGTTCTCCCTTTCACCTGGGACTTGATAAAACTTTGGGACAATTCCACGTGGCCCCTTCCTGCCTCTGCATTCAGGTATCAGGCTTTTGGCACTGGCTCATCCTGGGGCTCTGCAGATTTCAGAGCTCTCCCTTCTGCCCCTTAGCTCACCCTGCTGCCAGGACCAGCATCACCAGCTCTGGCTTCAGCTCCTGCCCAGCCAAGTGCCTTAATGATTCTTCTTAATGAGCATCATTTTCTAGCAGAGTGCTGTTAAATTTCTTCACACAAATGAGGCCAGGCCCAAAAGCCCTGCAAAGGTGCCCAAGGAGTTCCAGAACAGGGATGGGGTAAGGAAAGAAGGGAAAGAAGCTGGGACTGTCTCCAGCAAGGCTGAGCTGCTGAGATTCCACAGCTAAAAGGGTGGAAAAGGACCTTAAACCCATCCAGAGCCAGGGCAGGGACACCTTTCCTAACCCAGGTGAGCCCCACTCAGCCCTGTTTGTGCCTTTGAAAGATTTCCTGCAGCTCTCAGGGGATAAAACTGGCTCTTGAAAACACCAAAGCAGCTGCAAAGTGCTTCAAGGTTGTTGGATTAAGCCTTTTGTTGACCCAGAGATGGGGTGGTTTTGTGGCAAGGCAATACAGATGTTATAATTACATATATCTATTATACATAATTATATATATATAGATATACATTATACATAATATATAATATTATACATTATATATAATTATATATATTCTATATCTATGGTGTGGTTTTTTGGGTGAGAAAATACAGATGTTATAATTACATATATCTATTATACATAATTATATATATACACAATATATAATATTATACATAATATATAATTATATATTATTATATATATATTCTATATCTATGGGGTGCTTTTGTGGGTGAGAAAATACAGATGTTATAATTCACACTATTACAATCAGAAACTATTTCTTAATTGTAATAGCTTATAAGTGTTTCTTAGCCCATCAGCTTTTACTACACCATGCTGTAAATGCTTTAAAGCTAATCATCTAAAATGACTTCTCACTACAATGCACTTTTCATAGTTATATTTTTCTAAAATACCCGGTCTTATTTACAAAACCATCTTTTAAAACTTATTTTTAATTCCATTTCTCTCCTAACAGTGTTTATCCTATTCCACAGCATTTCCAAGTCAGCATTTCTCATCTCAGGGTTTACAAACAAACACACACTATGTGAGTACTTCTGTCAAACTTTAAGAATTCTCTACAAGTTCATTTCCCACTGAGGTCACCCCAGGCTGTTTCAGTCAGGTCTGAGGTGGGAACAGGGTTTGTGGCCAGCAAAGCTGTTCTGTGACCACAGCAGTGGCAGATATTTAGGAGGGATGTGCCCAATCCTTCCCCTCCCACACCCTCCCAGCTTCCCAGGGATTGCATCTGGGCCACCAGCTCTGACCTGTCTCTAATCCCCTCTGAAACCCATCTACACTTTTTGCTTCCCCAGCATCCTGCAGCAAAGAGTTCCACATTTAATTAGAAGGAAAAATTGCATTATGGTGCTTCAAAATCTCCTGGCTGAGCAGCCCTTTAGTCTGATATTGTGAGAAACAGAAAAGAAAACTTTTCTTCTTTTGTTTTCCTCATGGTTTCACACATTTCCAGTGATCTCCTTCCCACATTCCCACTGTGGATCATTCCTGGCTTTGATCACTCTTTTCCATTTGAGTGGTGAGCACTTCCCACACTGTCCAAGATGTGAATGCACCATCAGTTACTCCTTATGCCTTTCCTGACAATTCCTAATATTCAACGTATTTTTACAATATCAGCAGTGGTAAAACATTCCTGAAGTCAAATTTCCTACCAATTCCTACCTGAATTAAGCAAAAACCAGTAGGGATTTCCTTTAGCTTCCCTATGAATGCTCTCCCTCTGCTCATTCTCTGCTCGACCAATTGACTCAAATATTTTCCAACTATTTTCCCATATTTTTCTTCTCTTCCCTCATTTCCTGCTTAGATGCCAAACACTTTCCTGCTGCATCCACTCAGGGTGCATTTTCAGCTCTCAGCAGCCCCTCTGTGTCTCAGAGCAGCTCTTTAAACACTTGTAGAGATCCAGAACCTTTCCTTGCCTGGCTTCCCTCCTCCCCCTGGCACATCCTTCTCCTGAGCCTGGAGCTCTGGGAAGGCATTTTCCCTGCAGGAAGGCCCAGGGCAGCTCAGCAAAGCTGGCATCAGGTGTCATCCCATGTCCAGACTTTCCACTTCTTAAAAAAATCCATGTAGGGAAATCTGGAATCCTGGAAATGTGCAGGATAAAATCCTGCAAGTTGGATTTGGGGAGATGGGGCTTGCTCCTGTAACTCCAGTGTCCTGAAAGGATCATCTGGTTTTAAAAGGGAATTTTACAGGGAAATTATTAGTAAAAAAAAGCCTATTTGAGCAACCTCATGTAGCAGACAAGAAAAATCTGAAGGACCCAAATCTGCATCATAAAGAGCAGAAACAGTTCTGGGTGTGTTTGGGATTCAGTTCCAACAGAGATTTGGGAGCAAACTGGGACCAAAGTGATTCCTTCAGCAATTTCTGGGTGGAACAAGGTCTTGGAGCTTTATTCCAGCTACCAGCAGTGGGGTCTGGTGCCCTGTTCCACCCTCTGGCTGCCCAGCCAACAGCCTCTAACCAGGATCCTGGTTTGGATGAGGCAAATTCTTGTCCACACCTCAGCAGTGGGAAACCTCCTTCACTGCTGTGCTGTGATTTCCTATCCCTCAGGGAGTGCCACAGCCACTTCCAGGATTTAGGAACAGCAGGATGAGTTTAAGAGCAAAGATATTTCATCCTGCTGGATGGACCTGTGGAGCCACACCTCAGATCTTGCTAACCTGAGTGCAGCCAAAACCCCTAATAACCACTGCAGCTCCTTCAGCTTCTACTTCAGAAAGCTTTGGGGGGGGAAAACCCCAAAACCAGTGACCTGTGGAGGAAATTCTGATTCTGACCAGAGCAGGAATCAGGAGCTGTCCTGCACACACCACCTGCTGCAAGAATCCATGAGTGAAACCCTCTCTCAGGACTGAACAGGGTGAACTCTGGGTGAAGTCTCAGGGTGAACTCTGCCCCAAGAGAAGGAAAGCCAGGCGGGAGATGCCAGGCTGAGCTGTGCCCTCTCCAGGTACCTGTTGAGTGCCATGGTGACAGTGGCTCCCTGCTGCATCTCCTGCGACGCCGCCACCGCCGCCTCGGCCAAGGAAGCCACCGCCTGCGTGGCCTCCGAGGCCTGCGTCGTCTGGATGGTCATCTCCCCGCCCTGTAGCGTCGCCCAGTTCTGCTCCACCTGCCAGGGAACACAGGCTGTAGGATCAGCAGCACCCTCCAGGGGTGCCTGCTTCCCACAAGAGACAAATGGGTTGGTTTTCATAGAGTTCTGCAGTGTCCGCTCGGAGAGAGGGGAAAGGGGAGGGAGGGAGGCTGGCATGCACTGAGGGGTGGCTGGACACTGCAGCCCCTCCATCAGCCATGAGGCTCACAGTGCATAAGGATCCAGAAAGGTCCTCAAAAACCCTGAAATCACAGTGACTGGGTTGGGAGAGACCTTCTCCTCTCAGGGTTGTGTCCCAGCCCTTCCAAATCCCTCTTGTCCTGCCAAATCCTCAACCAAACAGGGCAGTGTAGCTGTTGTTGTACCTGGATCGCTGTTTGTTAATTAGCTGTGATTAATGGCCATCAATCAAAACACAAGTTCTTCACCATGAGGAAGAACTTCCTTCCATGGAGAGAGGCAGAGCTCTGGAACAGCTGCCCAGAGAAGCTGTGGAGTCTCTCTGTCTGGAGACATCCCAAAGCCACCTGGATGTGTCCCTGTGTCACCTGCTCTGGGTGGCCCTGCCCTGGACTGGATGATTCCCAAAGGTCCCTTCCAAGCCCAGCTGGTCTGGAATTCTGTGTTTCTGCAGTGCTGGAGCCCCAGCACAGATCCCATCCCTCAGGGAAATGGGCTGTGTTTTCCTCCCTGTTTCTATTTGCACTTTTTGGGGACTGGTCCATGTTCCCACCCAGGATTTATCTGGACAGCACCTGTGACCTTGGATGGGATTGAGCCATATTGCTTAATAAAAGATGATGGTGGTGGAAATGTTCATTCATCCCAGGCATTTAAAATTCCCTAACTCCACACCTTCTCACAGATAATTTTCATACTGCCTAAAGTTCACCCAGCTGCACATTTTCCCCCATATTTTCATGTGTAGATTCACAGCTGGTGAGATAATTATTATATGGCCAAAATCCACCAGGATGAGAACTCAAAACACACTTTGGACCAAACAAGCAGAGGATCTGCTGACAAATCCTACAGGCTGCTTGGCAAGGTGGAGATCTCCCTCCACCTCCCATCCCCATAAACATTTTAGGACAGTCCCCAACTTCTGAGACACAAAAATGCTGTTAGGGGGTGATGAAAAAACCACCTCAATTTGTTGGGATGGAGATGGTTAAAAAACCCACAAAAACAGAGGTGATCTGAGGCTCCAGGTAAAATTTTGCATGAGGAAACTTTGCTGCCTTTGGGAAAAGGTCAATCCCAACACAGGATGGAGAGGGAGTTGTGGGAAGGGAGATCCCAGTGATGCCCTACAAAGGTGCCCAAGGAGTTCCAGAACAGGGATGGGGTAAGGAAAGAAGGAAAAGAAGCTGGGACTGTCTCCACCAAGGCTGAGCTGCTGAGATTCCACAGCTAAAAGGGTGGAAAAGGAACTTAAACCCACCCAAATCCAGGGCAGGGACACCTTTCCTAACCCAGGTGAGCCCCACTCAGCCCTGTTTGTGCCTTTGAAAGATTTCCTGCAGCTCTCGGGGACAAAAGTGGCTCTGGACAACCCCAGAGCAGCTGCAAAGGGCTGGAAGGTCACTGCAGGCTGCCCCAGTCAGCTCCGAGAGGGAACAGGGAGTGAGGCCGGCAAAGCTGCTCCGTGCTGCCACCTCCTGCCCTGACACCCGCTGGGCACAGCACGGGGACAGACTGGGACAGACAGAGGGACAGGGACAGACCAACAGGGATGGACAGGGACGGACAGGGACAGACAGACTGGGACAGACTGGGACACACAGGGACGGACAGGGACGGACAGGGATGGACAGGGACAGACTGGGAGAGACTGGGACAGACTGGGACAGACTGGGACAGACTGGGACACATAGGGACACACAGACAGGGACAGACAGGGACCCACAGGGACCCACAGGGATGGACAGAGACGGACTGGGATGGACAGGGACACACAGGGACACACAGGGACACACAGGGACGGACAGGGATGGACAGGGACCCACAGGGACGGACTGGGATGGACAGGGACACACAGGGACGGACAGGGACACACAGGGACAGACAGGGACAGACAGGGACGGACAGGGACGGACAGGGACCCACAGGGACGGACAGAGACGGACAGGGATGGACAGGGACACACAGGGACAGACTGGGACCCACAGGGACCCACAGGGACCCACAGGGACAGACAGGGACAGACAGGGATGGACAGGGACACACAGGGATGGACAGGGACACACAGGGACAGACAGGGACAGACAGGGACAGACAGGGACAGACTGGGACACACAGGGACGGACAGGGACAGACCGGGATGGACAGGGACAGACAGGGACGGACAGGGACGGACCGGGATGGACAGGGACAGACTGGGACAGAAAGGGACACACAGGGACAGACTGGGACAGACAGAGGGACACACAGGGACACACAGGGACAGACAGAGGGACACACAGGGACACACAGCCTCATTTAAAGGTGGGGCTTGAAGTCAAAAGGTCAAAAAAAAATCTCCATTATTTTAAGGGAATGTTTCTTAAACCCAGAGAAAGAAATATATTTTTTAACGTACTATTTGATTTTTAAAAAAAGGGAAAAATAAATGTTTGCAATTTTGAGCGTTCAGATTTAGGCGTGGAAATGCCAAAAAAACCCCTAAATAAATAATCTATAGGAGGTATATATAAAAAAGACCCCAAATTCAGACCTAAGGCTTCTACGATAATTGTGGAAGTATATATATTTTTATATATATATACTATATAATTTATATTTGTAACTTATAATGTAATTTATATTTTTATATAGAAAGTGCTGAATTGTTATATCAGCTCAGGACTCTGCAAACACAGGGACAGACAGGGATGGACAGGGATGGACAGGGACAGACAGGGACAGACAGGGACACACAGGGACGGACCAGGACGGACAGGGACAGACTGGGACAGAAAGGGACACACAGGGACCCACAGCCTCATTCAAAGGCGGGGCTTGAAGTCAAAAGGTCAAAAAAAAATCTCCATTATTTTAAGGGAATGTTTCTTAAACCCAGAGAAAGAAATATATTTTTTAACATATGATTTGATTTTTAAAAAAAGGGAAAAATAAATGTTTGCAATTTTGAGCGTTCAGATTTAGGCGTGGAAATGCCAAAAAAACCCCTAAATAAATAATCTATAGGAGGTATATATAAAAAAGACCCCAAATTCAGACCTAAGGCTTCTACGATAATTGTGGAAGTATATATATTTTTATATATATATACTATATAATTTATATTTGTAAGAGCATGGGTTGGACTCGATGATTTTAAAGGTCCCTTCCAACCTAGAGATTCTGTGATTATATGTTAGCTATTGCATATTATAGGTTACATATTATGTAATGGACAATATAATATCTATTATTAATTATTGTAGTTTATCACTTATTCGATAATATAATATATAATATATAATACATAATATAATATATACTATATAATATATACTATATACTATATACTATATACTATATACTATATACTATATACTATAATATACTATATAATTTATATTTGTAACTTATAATGTAATTTATATTTTTATATAGAAAGTGCTGAATTGTTATATCAGCTCAGGACTCTGCAAACACAATTATATATATATAATATTATATTTATATTATATTTTATACATATAACGTAGACAATTGTATATATATAACTATATATAGTTTTATATATGTTACATATTATATACTGTATTTTATATATTTATATATAACATGATTCTGTGACTAATTGGAATTGCAGAGCCCACAGAAAACATGGAGCTGTCCCCAGTGGGGAGGAAATCCCCACATTAATCCATGGCAGCGAACAGCTGGCGAAGCACAAAGGCAGGGAGATGGGCAGCTTTGTGTCTGAGGAGCATTAAATATAAATGTAGGATGTCAGTGGGATCTCAGGTGTCCAGCACCTGAAAGGACACCAGTCAGAGGGAGATTGTATGGACAGGTGAGCAAAGAGAACCAGCCTGGCAGGTCTGCTGGGCCTTGGTGGGAACACAAAACTCTGACAGCCACTGAAAAGCTTCATTGGGGAAAAAACCCTACTCAAACACCCAGGTTTTATCTGCATTATGTCTGAGACTTCATAAAAATGTGATGCTCAAGGGGGACAAAGCGCTGGGCCTGGTTAGGAACCACCACCAGTGGTGGTTTGGAGGCACAGGGGAAACTGAGATTCAATTCTCACCCCCACAAGCAGTTTGTGGGAAGTTTCAAGAGAAAATCTAATTTTTTTTTGACATCCTGAGCTGCCAGAATCTGCCTTCCCTCACAGGGAACACAGGGAAAAGAGCAGCAGCACTGAGCTAACAACAGTGTGAGAGGAATCCTTATCCCATGAGGACAAATATTATATATTGTAATAAATTATATATATATATGTATTTGGTGTTTGTAATAAGTATAATACGTTTCAGGTGTCAGATAAAGACCTGGAGCACAGAAATACCCGATATATATATATATTTAATATAAATATAAAATATATATTTTATGTTCATACATATATATATATGTATTTGGTATTTGTAATAATTATGATACATTTCAGGTGTCAGATAAAGACCTGGGGCACAGAAATACCTCCTCTATCTATCTATGTATCTATCTATTTATAATATATATAATGTATTATATATATTGTATAATATATAATACATATTTTCATGTAATATGTATATGATATATATATAACATGTATTAGATAGATAGATAGATAGATAATTGATATATAGAATACCTGAAATGTAGCAATTAAACTCCATTTCCCACCATTACAGGAAGGCAGTTCCACCACCTCTCCTCCCATTGCCACCACAGGTGTGCTGTGGCAGCACCAGGGACTGGATTTGTTCCAAGCAGGCTCACCAAACTTGGGTCAAACCCCTGAACTTTTCTGACCACATCACAGAAATCCTTGCACTGGACAAGGGTTGGGAGTTGGGAAGAGAGAGGGTGAGGATGGATCTTTGTTGTGGGGTAAGACACGACAAGGACGAAATTCCTGAAGGACACATTTAGCTCCTGAGTTTCCTTCAACCACCTCCTGGTGGTTTAAACGGTGCTGGAAATGCAGGAGCCAGGGGGCTGCTCTCACCTGGATGAGGGACACGGTGCCGTCGGGGTTGCTGAAGGTCTGTACCACGGTCTGGGAGGGCACCAGGTGGGCGATGCTGTGCGTGGTCGTGGTCTGCGGCGTCTGCTGGTCCTCGAAGGCGTACAGCAGGTCCTCGCGCCCGTGCTGCTTGTAGCAGTTCTTCACGATGGTCCTCAGGGCCTGGGTCCAGGACACCTGCCAGCACGAGGGAGCAGGGGACACTCAGCCCAGGGAAGTGTTCTGAACCAGCTCAGTGCTGGGATTTGCAGGTTTGCCTTCACTGGGCTTCGTTGGGTGGTTTGCAATGAACAATCCCAATATTGAATCTCCCTCTGCTCATTCCCCCAAGGAATCACCCTGGAAAGCCTCCTGACCCAGTGAAGATGTCCCTGCTCAGTGCAGGGGTTGGATAAGACCTTTAAAAGGGTCCTTGCAATCCAAACCAGTCTGTGACTCCAAGCAGAAAGCCGCGGTGATTTGGGAAAGCACCAAAATGCTGCCACAGCACCATTTCCACCTCCCCACCCAGCCAGCCCTGAACCAGCCTGCACGGGGCCTGCTGCCTCCCCACCACGGTGCCTTCCTTTGATTATCTCTGTGACAGGTTGGTGGAAATTTTACTTTTTCACCCAGTTCTCTCATCTTCCCTGGCTCCACTGCACATCCACGGCTCCTTCCTTCAAGCACAAAGCTCCCTGCTGCTCTGAACAGGACAGCACCCCTTCCCTCCTTCAGGAGGCCACGACACAGACCCTTCCTTCTGTCCCTCAGGGCAAAAAGCACTGCCAAAACCCAGCCTGCAGCCCCTGTGCTCCATCTGGAGGCAGACAGGGAGACACCCACCCGCTGCTTCTGCTCCTCCGTGCGGACGTCGCTGCGGACGTTGGCCCACGGAATGTCCTCGGGCCACCAGATGGGCTTGCAGCTCTCCTTGCCCCAGCCTGGCTTCCCACGACCCGTGGAGTACTTCAGCATCTCGGGGATGAAGGCTCTCAGCTGTGCCTGGAACACACAAAAGGTGTTTAGGAGTTGACATCTCGGGTAGTTGTACAGAACTGTTGTGTTCAGCTTCCATCCTGTTGGAGCCATCAACTGGAAGGGGCCTGAAAGCCCAAGGAAGGTGGACAACACTTTGCCATCTTCTCCCAGGACTCAGCTTGGCAGCAGGTGGAAGAGAAGAAACAAAATTCAATCAGCCAAAACAAGATTACAACACCAAGGCACAGCCGTTGTATTGACACTTTGCAATTCAAACACTACCAGGAAGAGAAGGAGCCAACCTGAAATGGAAAAACAAAAACTAAATCACAACAACCTATTAAAAACCCCACACCCAGTGTCTCTACAGGGCAGGAGCTCAGGCATGAGCTGACGTATCATTTACAGAGATGCTGTGAGGGGATGGAGCTTCAGTGACTGCTGAAATGTGGAAACCACAATCTCACACTTCTCCAGCCCTGTCCTGCCAAAATAAACAAAGAATTCACACAGGGTTTTGTGACAAGATTGGTTTCGTACCAGGGACTCCTTGGAGCACCAGGAAAAGGCTGGCTCAGGTGCAGAGCAGAGCAGGAAGGGGAGAGCTCTCCTTATATCAGAGGAAATCGCATTCAGAACTTAAAACTGCAATTAGGAGCAGCTCCCTGCATCACTTCAGAGCTTTCAGAGTAAATGATTTCATAGAGCCATGGAGTCATTTGGATGGAAAAGACCTTTAGGTTCCCCAGAACTGCCAAGGCCCCCAAGTGCCACATCCACATGGATTTTAAATCCCTCCAGGGATGAGGACTCCAAAGCTCCCTGGGCAGCTGTGCCAGGGCTCGACAGCCTTTCCATGGAGAAATTATCCCAAAATCCCCCCTGAGCTGCCCAGGCCCAGCCTGAGGCCGTTCCCTCTCTCTCCCCGTGCTCCAGCTGCACTCCCCTCTCTGGGCAGAGCCTGGATGTTGCACCCACTGGCTCCAAGCTGTCCAAGCTGTCCAAGATCTCATCTCAAGCTGCCCTTTCCACGTTCCACATGGAACATCCCCTAGAGCACCTTTCCCCAGCCTGTCCACGATCCACCCTCCACTGCAGGGCCCACACCCACCCGACGTGCTCCAGGCTCCCTGCTGAAGGGAGAAGAAATAATTCCTCCAGAGAGCAGTTCCTTTAAAAATACACTGTTCATAGAGCCCGAGAGAGAAAAGGATTGCTCCAACAGCGCAAGAAACTGAGGGAGCAGGGCTGGGGGAGGAGGGAAACCAGAAGGGAGCTGGAAAAGGGAGTTCAATCCCAAGGATTATCATTTAGCAGTAACTCTGCCCAATAATTAATTCAAATAAACCTGGGAGCGGAGCAGCAGGGGGTTTTGCAGTTACTGTTGATTTTTGGGGGTTTTTTTGTGTGGGGTTTTTTGTTGTGTTTTTTTTTTGTGGGTGTTTTTTTTGTTTTTGTTTTTGGATTTTTTTTTGTTTGTTTTGTTTTGTTTTTTGGGGTTTTTTTAAATTTTTTTTAATTTTTTTGTTTTGTTCTGTTTTTGTTAAGATTGGAGATGGTATTTTGTGTTTAGGTTTAGATGTTTGTTATCTTTATTTATATCATAAATAGAGCGGAGCAGCAGGGCTTTCTGCAGTTGCTGTTGATTTTTGGGGGTTTTTTTGTGTGGTGTTTTTTTTTTGGTTTTTGGATTTTTTTGTTTTGTTTTGTTTTTTGGGGGTTTTTTTAAATTTTTTTTAAATTTTTTTTGTTTTGTTCTGTTTTTGTTAAGATTGGAGATGGTATTTTGTGTTTAGGTTTAGATGTTTGTTATCTTTATTTATATTATAAATATATATATAAAATATATTTATTTATAATAGATATTATTTATAGTATTTATTTTATATATTTAATATATTTATAGTATTCTATTAATAAGTTACAAAATGGTTAACTATTTTTTGTATAAGATTTTTTAAGGTTCAACTATTTAATTAAGAAATTATACTTAAATTATTTTAATTTTTAACTGAATAATTAATTACTTGAACTTTGTAATGTGGATTTTTTGTTTACTTATAAAATACTATTTAAGCTTATGAAGAAGAAGGTAAAGAAGGATTAATCTTTGTTTTAAAACTTCTATTTTGTTTTTTATATTATTATACATTATATATTATATATAATATTATATATTATATATCTCCCTCATTATATAATCATATATAATAATTATATATCATACTTATATAATTATATAATATAATATATTATATATAATATAAATATATAATATATAATATATAATATATAATATATAACATATAACATATAATATATAATATATAATAAGTAATATAATCGTTATTATTATTTATTATAATATATATAATATATATTATACATATTGTATTTTGAATAATATATGTTAGATTATAATATATATTATAACATTAATATATATTAATATATTATATTTTAAATAATATATATTTTTTAAAATTCTAGGTTTTTTACTTTGTGATATCACACACTTTTAATTAACTACAAACTTGTAATTTTAGTGTTATTAACAATTCTGGTTTATGGCTTTAGATTAAATGCAGGATTCTTTTGGGGATTTTTAATTTTTAATTTTAATTTTTAAAATTTTCAGCATTTAGGGCTGGTGCAAACCCAGCTCAAGCTCTTCCCTGGCACCAGCAGTGCTCCATGGCTGCTCAAGCTACTCAAGGTACTTGTTAAGGAGGGTTTGTGTTTAATCCACAGGGAGACAATCAGCAGCTCTGTCAGAGAGAGGACTTGGCTAATTAGTGCCCTAACGAGGCTGGGCTCTGCCACAGGTGATGCCCCCACAGCCCTGGGGGGACTCACCTGCAGAGCCACGTTCTGCTGACACCTTGCAGGAAACGCCCAAAAATCAAATATCTGCTGAAAAAACCCAGGGGCACCTTCCAGTTTGTGCTCAGGGAACCCCCAGGATGGAGGATTTGGAGAAACAAAACTGGATTTTGAGAAATGTTTCTTTGCCACCCTTTCATTCAGTGTTTTCACTTTTAGCCTCAAATTCAAGAATTGATGGCACTGAGCTATCCCAATCCCAAATGCAACAGCCCAAAGCACAGCCAGCTGTACTCCAGCTGCTCTCCACAGCTGGAAACACCAAGGGAAGTGGTTCCTAGAACAGAGCAAAACCTGGGGTGGGGATTTTCCACACATCCCCAGAGCTCAGCCTTGGCATCCCTGGGAAAAGCAGAGTCCAGGCAGGACCTCAGCTGCACCTGGGAGTGGGAGAGGGAAAAACAGCAACTGCTCCAGAGCTGGAAGGGAACTCACCCCTGAATCCATCCCTGCTGCACTCCCAGAGCTGGGAAACCACAAAACCAGGCAGGCTATCCAGCATGGGAGCTGAGTGCAGCCAGGATCCTGCCCCGGGCCAGGGACCAGCTGGGAGAGCAGCAGTGCAGCCCTCAGGGGGGAACGGGCACCACGATGATCTTTGAAAAACTTCATCAAGTTTTTTCTGGCTTGTAGGAGCCAGAAAAGCTTTTACTGCCTCCTACAAGCAGGTTATAAATCACAGGGGCTTAAAAAAATCAGCTTTTGTGCCCTTGGAAAGGGCTCAGGGAACCCTCAGGATGGAGGATTTGGGAGAAACTGTGAGAAATGTTTCTTTGCCACCCTTTCCTTCAGTGTTTTCACTTTTAACAGGGGCTTAAAAAAATCAGCTTAAGGGACAAATCACTCCTTCATAAAGCAGTGAGCACTGAGCTCAGCTTGGTTAAGCTCAGATTACCCAATTTTACTCCTCAGTCACACCAATGAGCAGCTGAGAACAAGGTGAGGGGCAAACTCAGCTGTCACCAAAGTCCAGAAAGCACCAAGCTCCCCCTCTGTGCAGGCAGAAAATCCCACTGCAACACAGGTTTTCCTGCCCAGCCCAGCTGGGTGATACTCTCCTTTCCCAAGGTTAGAGAAACATCTCTGCCCAGGCAAATAAAGGCTTCATTTCCCTCCAGACCACTGGGGAAGCAGAGCAATTAGAAGGAGAATTATCTTCACCTCCTCACTGATGACACCTCTACACCTGCCTGCTGTCACCTGCTGAAAGCAGAGGCCTCCTTTTTCCAGTCCCTGCCATCCTAATTATATTTATATTTATTTTTGTTCATTTTCCATGGGGTTTTGTGCAACTTAGCTGAAAAAAGAAAAAAAAAAGATTATTTTTAACTAGAAAACACAAATAATTCTAGTGGAAGATCTGGGGAATCAAGATTCCCACAATAAATGATGGCACCTCTGTGCCCAGCTCAGGAGAAACCTTTCCACAAAGCTCTTCTGAGCTACCTCACTGTGCTGGAACAATGAGGGCCATTCCTAAAAAGATCCTTGTTTTTCTACCATGGAGCAGCAGGAGAGGATTGGAAAGAAGAGGTTCTACATCTGCACTTTGGGCTGGCTGAGCAAAGGCCCTGCAGGACCAGGGGGAGAAAAACATTTCCATGGGGAACTGCTCCTGGTGCACAACAAAAGCTGCCAGGAGCAGCTCCTGCAGGTGCCACCTTTCACAGGAGTTTAAAAATCCAAGAAATAGTTTTTGTCTTATTTGTCAGGGATTGGGAAAATTATCAATTTATTGAGCACAGTAAGCTCAATAAAATTTTGTTATGAGTATGAGCTTGTCTGATCCCACTAAGAAATGGAAATGGTGCTTTGAGCAGGGTGTGACCTCTGCAGAGCACAGAAACATCTGCACATCTTTGCTCTGACCTCTTTGTGTGCTGCCCTTTCCATCTTGCTACTCCCTTGGAAAAAAAAATTGCTTTTCAGCATTTAAAACTTGTCGTGGTGCCTCAGACTGGGGGTACCCAGAGCCTCCTGCAGGACACACCTGCCTGAATTCAGGTCCTGGGAAGGAGATTTCCCTCCAGGTGAGGCTTCCCTGGGGAGCCCCCTCCACTTTCTCCAGCAGTGAGGTCAGCAAGGGGCTGGACCTGGAGAGAAAGGGAATCTCCCACATGCCCAGGGCAGATAATTCCCTGTCTCCAACAAAAATATCCCACTTAGGGTCTGATCTGGGGTTAAACTCCCCTCTGCTCCAAGCCACAGCAGAAAAAGAGGAGGGACTGAACTACAGAAAACTGTCCATGAGTGACCTTCCCAACCTTGGTGCTTAAAGATTGTGGCAAAGCATGGAACATTTTCCCTGTTTCCACCTTCTGAGGTGCCAAAACCAGCTCCAAAGGGAGTGTTCCCAGCAGCCTGAGCTCTCCCAACCACTTTTGCTCATGGAGAAAATCAGCACCACTAACAAAGCTCCAACAAGAAGATCTCACTCAAGGTCTGATCTGGGGTTAAACTCTCCTCTGCTCCAATCCACAGCAAGAAACAGAGGAGGGAATGAACTGCAGGACACAGAAAGGTGGCCACGAGTGACTTTCCCAACCTTGGTGCTTAAAGATTGTGGCAAAGCACAAACAGGGAACATGGAACAAACACAGAACAAGGAAATTTCCTCTGTTTCCACTTTCTGGGAGGTGCCAAAATCAGCTCCAAAGGCAGAGCTCCCAGCAGCCTGAGCTCTCCCCACCTTTTTTGTTCATGGAGAAAATCAGCACCACTAACAAAGCTCCAAGAAAAATATCTCACTCAGGGTCTGATCTGGTTTGTAGGAGATCAGATCTGGGGTTGAACCTTTGGCAAACTCCCCTCTGCTCCAATCCACAGCAAGAAACAGAGGAGGGAATGAACTGCAGGACACAGAAAGGTGGCCACGAGTGACCTTCACAACTTTGCCACCTGAGATTGTGGCAAAGCATGGAACAGGGAACAGGGAACTTTCCCGTTTCCACTTTCTGGGAGGTGCCAAAATCAGCTCCAAAGGCAGAGCTCCCAGCAGCCTGAGCTCTCCCCACCTTTTTTGTTCATGGAGAAAATCAGCACCACTAAAAAAGCTCCAACAAAAATATCTCACTCAGGGTCTGATCTGGGGTTAAACTCCCCTCTGCTCCAATCCACAGCAAGAAACAGAGGAGGGAATGAACTGCAGGACACAGAAAGGTGGCCACGAGTGACTCTTCACAACTTTGCCACCTGAGATTGTGGCAAAGCATGGAACAGGGAACAGGGAACTTTCCCGTTTCCACTTTCTGGGAGGTGCCAAAACCAGCTCCAAAGGGAGTGCTCCCAGCAGCCTGAGCTCTCCCCACCTTTTTTGTTCATGGAGAAAATCAGCACCACTAACAAAGCTCCACATCCAAGCACGGCCTGAGCTGTGAGAGCCCCGGGGGACAGAGATCAGAGCAGCCCCTGGAGAGGCAGCCACACAAAACAACAGGATGAGACTGCAAGATGCCAAACACCCCTGTGCCCCCCTGCCTCTGCCACGGGTGGCTGCTCACCTGGGTCACCTGTCCACTCACCTGGGTCATCTTGTCCACGGAGACGGGGATGCCGTCGATGGTGAGGGGGGGCAGCTCTGAGTTGACCTCCTGGGGGGCCGGGGCGTGCTCGGCCAGCGCCGACTCCAGGTCTTCCAGGATGGTGCTCTTGTACTTGCGGACCTGTGGGGAGTTGCCAGGCTCGGGTAACCAAGGGAGCAGCACCAGGAGAGGAGCAGGGTGCGGGCCCAGCCGGCCTCCCCAGGGTGCTGCAGAGCAGGAGGAGCAAACAGGGGCACAGCTGGCAGGAAACAGCCAGCAGCCCCCCGAGACTCGGCTGCTGATGAAACTCAAAGCAACACTGGCAAGGGAGGAGTTTGTGGGATGAAAGGAAAAGTTCTGAGGGTAGAGCTTGTCCTGGGCAGGGTCTGCAATAAGGCAAAGAGAGCAGAGCTCAGTTTAAACATGTCATTTTTTAGGATTTAGTCTGGAGCAAAGGAGGCTCAGGGGCCCTGGTGGCTCTGCACAAGTCCCTGGCAGGAGGGCACAGCCGGGGGGGTCGGGCTGTGCTCCAGGGAACAGGGACAGGAGAGAGGGAACGGCCTCAGGCTGGGCCAGGGCAGCTCAGGGTGGGCACAGCAGGAATTTCCCCATGGAAAGGGGGTCAGGCCTTGGCAGGGGCTGCCCAGGGTGGTTTGGAGTGCCCATCCCTGTGGAATCAGCAGGAATTTCCCCATGGAGAGGGGGTCAGGCCTTGGCAGGGGCTGCCCAGGGAGCTTTGGAGTGCCCATCCCTGGAGGTGTCCAAGGAATTCCTGGATGTGGCACTCAGAGCTCTGGGCTGGGGACAAGAAAGGGATTGGTCACACTTTGGATTCAATGATCCTGGCTGGAGGTCTTTTCCAGCCTCAGGGGTTCTGGGATTCTGTGATCATGGCCTGTTCCCTATGATTTTTAATCCAGGATATTCCCCCCTGGTGAGATGTGCCATTCTTGCAGAGAAGAGAGGACCTCAGTGCTGCCCTCATGTCAGGGAGTCACAGGAACATTAGGGCTGGAAAAGATCTCTGAAATCACTGACTCAACCAGGTCCAGCACTGCATTCCATAAAACCTAAACTCTGTTTTCCTAAAGGGTTTTTTAAATTACCCTTCAGATCCCTACCATGCTTCCAAGGCTGCCCTGAGCAGAACAAAACCTGCAGGGAAGGTGAGGACTTTCTTTCCTCACTTTCCCAGGGACACCTACCACATTCTCCAGGGGTGCAGCACCGAACACTTTGAAGACAGGGTTGGGTTTGGAGGGTGAGATGCACAGGACGATGGCCTGCTGCCCCACTCTGGTGGTGTACTCATCCAGCGTGGCCCGCAGCTTCCTGAAACAGGGCAAACCCAGGGAATGGGCATCAGCTGAAAGCCCACAGGAACACAACCCCTCTGGCTGCCAGCTCCCTCTCACAAGGCAGGTGAGAAACGCAGCCCCAGCAGCTCAGCTTGGCCACACGTTGAGTTTATTCCTGTTCCACAGGCCTGCTGTACTCCCTGCAGGCACCCAGCAGCTCAAATGTCAATTATTCTCCCCTCTCTCCTCTTCTCACTGATGTAAAAGGAGAAACCACCAGAGCAGCAAAGCTGGGGCAGCGAGAGTCTGCACTTCCACTCTGTCTTAGCAACACAAAACTCGTGTTTTGTTGAAGCACCTGAATGATTCATCAAAAGAGGCCTGCAGACAGAGGTTGTTTTACACCCAGATCATAGCAGTGCAATTCTCCAGCACCAAAGTCCTGCTCAAACCAGATCTGTAGGAATTCGAGCTACAGGACAGGCAAGAACTGGAAATATTGCAACAGCTCAGCACAGGGAACCCAGGTGTCCCAACACCTGCCCCATCAGCAACTCCCTTTGGAATTACAACGTTCCACTGGATATTTTCTAACTCTTATTCCCTTTTAAGCAGTGCAAGAGTCAGAAATGGTGGCAGAAACTCCAAAAGCAAGAGAAAAGTAGTCTTTTCCCCAGAAAACTTGAGCAGTCTGTGAGGTGACAGCTCAGTCCCTGTCCTGGTCATCTGAGAACCTGAGGTTGCCAAAAAGCACCACCAGCTCCACACAGATCCCACAGCCAGGGGGTTGAAATTCATTCCCAGTGGGGTGAAAATCAAGCACAAACATGTGTTCAGTTGGTCAGAGTGGAAAAAAAATGATGTTTTGTCATTATCTCAATGTAGTAAAATGAAGTCGTTGTGTGAAAGGAGAATAAATAATTCCTTCACTGAGCAGTTTCTTTAAAAATATATTGGTCATATTTCAAGGGAGAAAAAGATGTGTTCTTCAGAAACACTGCAATAAACACAGAAACACTGCAAAAAACAGGGCAGAGTTGGGGGAAGGAGGGAAAACCAGAATGGAGCTGTAAAAGGCAGGGAGTTCACCCCCAGGGATTATCACTTAGCAGTAACTCTGCCCAATAATTTAACATTAACTGCCCAGTGAGATCCCAAACAGCAGAAAAAGCAAGAATTGCTTTGTTGCAAGAGCCAGGGAAGGGTAGCAGCCAGTGTTCACAGATGTTTCCAGAGCAGGGAACCCCAGGTGGCTCTCCAGGGCTGTGCAGTGCCACGGCTCTGGTGTGGCTCGGGGGCCATCAGGTGGGCAAACAGCCTCAGAGCACCTGGAATGCAACACCTGGAGGGCTGTGGAGCTCTGCTGTCTCCACAGGCAGCTTCTGAAGCCAATAAAAAGTGTTTCAACTCAGGCAGGAATCTCCCTCTGGATTATTCTTCCTAAAACTGTGCTCTAAACCCCACAGACTGTGGGGTTTGTCCAGTGGCAAAGGGAATTTGGATATACACACACTGAATTTACCCCCAGAATTGCTTTGCAGAGCTGGGATATGGAAGGAGCTTCAATTTCTGCTAAAGCCACTGTGGATATCCTGCAATGCCACTGTGACAGAGAGCTGGTGACCAGTTGGGGTTAAAACAGAACAATGGATCCACCACAGTGTCCATTCTGGTGATCATAAAATCAGAGATGAGCAGAGCTGCAATTTAACCCTTTAATGCAAACTAAACCACAGCTCTTGGCTTCCAGAAAGACACTCCCCAAAACCCCCGAGCTGGGTGACTTCTGGGCAGCACTTGCTGTGAGCACAGGCCACCAGAGCCGGCTGGAGGACACCGAGGTGGCAGGGACAGGTGAGTGCTCACCTGAGCAAACGAGTCTGCTGCCTCTTCCGGATGGAGGGGTTGGACTCAAACACGTGAGGCCGCTTCCTTTTCTTCCCTGTTGCCACAGCAGCAGCTGCTGCCATCCCCACAGGGCCTGCAAATCAAAGCACAGAGGGTCAGGCAGCTCAGGAGGGACACTGTCACCATGCCCCCAGGCAGGAATGGGTGCCCAGGGTGACACAAATCCCTCCCTGAGCTCTGCAGTGAAAGCTCCGTCCCCCAGGCTGGCAAATCCCTGCTCAGTCCTGGGTGGAAGTCACATATTGCAGCCTAAAGTTGTCCTTACACTCACAGAATTCTGTGTTTCATCTTCCAAACACACTGAAAAACTCCCAAGATTTAAATAACCGAGGGGATGCTGGTGGCTGGGAAGAGGGAACCAGGTACAGCTCCACAAATCCTGCTTGGACACCTCAACTACAGCATCAGGAGTCTGAGGCTTTCCTGGGGGATTAAGGACCTGTTCTAATGGGGAAGAAATGTAAAATCCAGAGTTCCCAGCAGTGCCCTACAAGAGTTCTAATGGGAAAGAAATGTAAAATCCACAGTTCCCAGCAGTGTCCCACCAGGGAAAGAAATGTAAAATCCAGAGTTCCCAGCAGTGCCCTACAAGGGAAAGAAATGTAAAATCCAGAGTTCCCAGCAGTGTCCTACCAGGGAAAGAAATGTAAAATCCAGAGTTCCCAGCAGTGCCCTAGTATATATGTATAGTATGGTAGATATGTATATAGTGTATATATGTGTATATATTGTATAGTATATATGTATATAGTGTATATATGTATATATATAGTATAGTATAGTAGATATGTATATAGTGTATATATATATAGTATAGTATATATGTATAGTGTATATATATTTGTGTATATATAGTATAATATATATGTATATAGTATATATATGCTTATATATATAGTATAGTATAGTATAGTATAGTATAGTATAGTATGGTATAGTATGGTATAGTATGGTATAGTATGGTATAGTATGGTATGGTATAGTATGGTATAGTATCTCTTTAATATAGTATAGTACAATCTAATCTAATATAGTTCAATAAAACAATTGTTCAGCATTCTAAATCAATAGAGTCAGATGCCAATCACCCCCAGATATTGGGGACACCCTAATTTAACTAGGCAAGCAACACCAGCAGGTGATGACGATGATGATGGTGGTGAGGATGATGATGGTGGTGATGATGGTGGTGGTGGTGACAATGATGATGGTGATGATGATGATGATGATGGTGGTGATGGTGGTGATGGTGACGATGATGATGATGGTGGTGATGATGATGATGGTGGTGATAGTGACGATGATGATGATGGTGACGATGATGATGGTGGTGGTGATGATGATGGTGGTGACCATGATGATGGTGGTGGTGATGATGATAATGGTGGTGACGATGATGATGGTGATGACGACGGTGACGGAGCAGCCCCCAGGCTTTACCTGCAGCCGCCCCCAGGCTTTACCTGCAGCCGCCCCCAGGCTTTACCTGCAGCCGCCAGGTGAGCGGTGACCTCGTCGGCCGCCGTGGAGTTGAGGATGTCGGAGTCGTCGTAGGAGGTGTCCTCGGGCGAGGAGGGCGAGTCCTCGTCGGCGCTCAGCATGCTGTGCTCCGTGTAGGTGGCCACGTGCACCTGCTGCACCTGCTGGGCCACGGCGTGCGCCTCGATGGTAGCCATGTGCTCTGCCTGCGTCACTCCGTGTTCTTCCATCAAGAGTCGCTGGTAGAGGGACAAAAACGGGACAAAAGGCTGGGACAAAAAGCTTTGACAAAAGCCGTGAGCACAAGGGACAGAGGTCGCCTCCCCCAGGGACAATGGATGTCTACAAGAGGGAAATAACTCTGCCAGGAGCCAGGGGAGAACTTTAGGTTAAAGAGTTTGGAAAAACCCACACTTCCAAACCATCATCTCTGCTGGAGGCAAGGTCCCCAAGGACCCTGCAGCACTGAGATTGTCCCTCACACACACACTGAAGGGTCAAAGCTGGGATTTGGTTTTGCCACATCAAGTTCTACCTTTTCAGAGGCCTGAGGGTGACACAAAGTCTCCTCTGACCTCAATGGCTCAGGACACAAACGAGGATGCCAGCACAGAATCCCAGGAGCACTGAGGATGGAAAAGAGCTCTGGGATCATCGAGTCCAACCTATGTCCCCTCCCCAGACCAGAGCACCGAGTGCCACATCCAGGAACTCCTCGGACACCCCCAGGGACAGTGAGTCCACCATCTCCTTGGGCAGCTGTGCCAGGGCCTGATCCCCATTTCCACGGGGAAATTCCTGCTGATGTCCAACATCACCTCCCCTGGCCCAGCCTGAGGCCGTTCCCTCTCTCCTGTCCCTGTTCCCTGGAGCACAGCCCGACCCCCCCGGCTGTCCCCTCCTGCCAGGGACTTGTGCAGAGCCACCAGGGCCCCTGAGCCTCCTCTGCTCCAGGCTCAGCCCCTGCCCAGCTCCCTCAGCCCCTCCTGCTTCTCCAGCCCCTTCCCAGCTCCCTCAGCTTTTCCTGCTTCTCCAGACCCTTCCCAGCTCCCTCAGCCCCTCCAGCTTCTCCAGCCCCTTCCCAGCTCCCTCAGCCCCTCCTGCTTCTCCAGACCCTTCCCAGCTCCCTCAGCCCCTCCTGCTTCTCCAGACCCTTCCCAGCTCCATTCCCTGGACTCTCTCCAGCCCCTCCAGATCTTTCTGGTCAGGAGGGGCTCAGACCTGGACTCAGAGCCCAGGAAGAGGCAAAGCCATCACAGCCCAAGCACAAACCCCACAGAAAGCTGATTTATTACGGCGTCCAGTGGTAAAGCACTGAGCAAAGCAGCAGCTTACAGAGTCAGCAGGGCCCTGGACCACACACTGCGAGCACAGATCTGTGCACAAGGACCACGATGGGAGCTGCAGGGACATTTGCAGTCTGTGCCTGCTGTACGTTTGTGGAAAAGAAAAGGCACATCCCTAAGATGTTTTCAAACAGGAGAATCAGAACCTCAACCCTCAAAAGCAGATTCCCCAAAGGGAGTCTGTTCTTGCTCAGGGCAAAGAGCAGAAAGAGGTGACCAGCTGCAGGGAATAAGAAAATAAACAAAAAAAAGGTTCTCACCCTCTAAGTACAGTCATGGAATTCCAGCTCCTGACTGGCACAGAGCACAGAATGCCATGGGGTCAGTGAGACACAGGAACCCAAACCTTTCTGTCAAGAGGATATTTTGACCAAACAAAAAGAAGGTTGCAGCCAGGTGGGGTTGGTCTCTTCTCCCAAGCCACAGGACAAGAGGAAATGGGTTCAAGTTGTGCTGGGGAGGTTTAGATGGGATTGTAGGGAACATTTCTTCTCCAAAAGGGCTGTCAGTGGAACAGGGAAGTGCTGGAGCCCCCATCCCTGACGGGATTGAACAGACCCTGGGGACATGGTTAGTGCTGGGACTGGCAGTGCTGGGGAAGGGTTGGAATATTCCAGCCTGAGGGACAGCAGAATTGTTGTTGTGAGACTGTCACAAACCTCCTGAGGCTACAGCTAAAGCCAAACCAGCTTCAGACTCCCAGTCCTCCCTAAAAAGCTGCTGGAGTCTGATGTTGCTGTTGTCCAACCCTGTTTACAACTTGGGTTGTAATATTAGAACCATCCAAAAATAGCAGGAGTTCAAACAGTGCCACTGAGGAAGGGACTGAGACGTTGAGCTACATTGAGACAAACTGAAAACTTCTGGTGGAGAAACAATCAGCCCTAACCTCCTTCCACAAAATTCACACTGCCATCACCACAGAAAAAATATTTCAAGTAAATCCTTTTGGACCAGCTTAACAGATTTCCCAAGACACCGAGCTCTTCCTGAAAGGGGACACTGCTGCTTTTCTTACTATTAAAATTTAAAAAAAACCATGGAAAAATGTGATCAGAATATGATCTTTGACTTTAAAGTCAGGAGACAATGGATGAAACCACTGGAACCAACCTTGCACTCAAAGGCAACCTAAACCTAACACCACCAACACTGAAACCTTGGGAAGCCATTCCCACATTCAAATTATTCCCAAAGGATTCCTGACACGAGCCAGGCTCTGTGGGAGCACCTTGACTGGCAGGGGAAGGTGTCACCAAGCTGGCCCAGCCAACACCCCTGTGACACACCCACAGGGTGGGGCTGGGATTTGAGCAGGGATCCAGCACAGGGATGAAAGGAAAGCTGTTCCCTTCGTCCTTTAGAGATGAGCATTCCCCACTCCAGACAAGGAACGTCGATTCCTGGTTTTCTCCCAAAGCCAGAGTGGTTTCAGGAGGAGGGAAAGCCTAATGACAGTGCTGACTGCAGGGACATTTCCTGGTGGCCATGGCTTGGTCCAGAAGGTTTGGATGACAGCCAGGAGTAGTTTTAAAGTCATTTAATGTGCTTATAAAAAAATATGAGGATAAAGTCCCTCTCATCACACAGTGCAGTTGCTTCATGAGTGTGTCAGGGGTTCCTCTGATGTCCTGTCAGCCCTGAGCAGTGGCTGCTGACACCATCCCTGAGGAACACAGGAGCAAACAGCAGAGCTGCACCACTCAAACCACCAGAAAACAACAGGACCTGGTTGCAAACCCCATAAATTCAACACTAAATTTAAACCCCTGTAGACTGAAATGGAGGTCTCTGTGGTGTGACTGTAACGAAAGTCACAACTCAACCCATAAAACCCCCCCCGCACCATCCTCTACCATCACCCTCCAGCTCAATGGGTGCTTAAAACTGAGTCCAAAATAAAAATTCCACGCCAGAAAAAATCATGAGGAGCAGCAGCACGCTGGAAAAACCCCCTCACACAGGCAGGGCCTGGAATGATTTTAAACCTTTATCCCACTGAGGAGGCTTTGCTTCAGATGCTGCAGGAGACACGACTGAGACACTGAACCCGGAGATGAGCATTTATCCTCTGCAATGTTAAATCGTGGTGCCATTTTTACCAACTCAGCCCACACCTCATTAATCTGAAACCCTAGAGGCTTTGCTTCAGGTGCTGCAGGAGACACTGAACCCGGAGATGAGCAGTTATCCTCTGCAATGTTAAATCGTGGTGCCATTTTTACCAACTCAGCCCACACCTCATTAATCTGAAACCCTGCTCAGATCAGCAATAAATAAAAAGAATCGCTGGGTCTCGCTTCTTTGGTGGTTTAAATAACTCTGAAAGGAAGCAAAACAGGAATTCTGTGGAGATTCTGAGACCTGCTTGCCCTGTCCTCTCATGAGAGGATCCCTCCTAGGATCCAGCCATGAAAGGGACCTGGGGAAAGCAGGGGCAAAGTTTTCAGTGAAATTGGGTAGATTTAGATCAGGCATAGGGAAGAAATTCTTCCCTGTTGCCCAGAGCAGCTGTGGCTGTCCCTGGGTCCCTGGAATGTCCAAGGCCAGGCTGGACAGGGCTTGGAGCACCTGGGACAGTGGGAGTGTCCCAAAGCAGGGGACAGCACTGGATGGGCTGAAAGGTCCCTTCTAACCCATCCCATGGTCCCAGCATTCTGAAATAGGGTGGGAGCAACCAATGGCATCCAAACCAGCAAATATAAGGATCTTGTGTTCAAATGGATCAATCAATTTCATGTTCTTACAAAACTTGCTTCTTTGCTAATTATTCTGATAGTCAGAACTCAGCCTTCATATTTCCATATCGAGAGTGAGTCATTCTGGGTGGAAAACCAAATGGGAGAAGTTCCCCTGCACTCTGTACCAGCATCAACATGAAAACGAACACCACACTTCATAACTAAAACTAAAATTTTATAACTAAAATGCAGGAATTAGCAAATCCCCACGGCAAACAGAGAGATCAGCTCTCACACAGCCCACTGAGGGTGCACAACTTTTCCCAGCCAAAGGCTTTGGGAAGAAGGAAATCCCATCCCAGCAATGAACATTACTGGCTGGATGTCCCAGCTCAAGCAGCAGCTCTGCCTCCTCTGAGAGCAGCTGGAAGTTACAGGGGAGGATAAAGACAGGACTAGGGAAAACACGCTCTGAAATCTCAGAATCCTCTTTACAAGTGATCTACATCCCCAATTAGTTTAACAGACACATTAACGAGGTCAGGGGACTGTCCCTGGTCCCATTTCAGGCTGGTCAGGTCCTGGACCTTCTCCTCTTCCCAAGGATGACACTCAGTGGAAAATCTGCCACCCTCCAAAGGCTTTGAACCACGAAAAGATGGAATCATGGAACAGTTCAGCTTGGAAAAGCCCTCTAGGACCATCAAGTCCAACTGTTGTCCCCCTGCACTGCCAAGGCCACCACTAAACCCATCATCCCCTGGTGATGGACCCCCCCAAACACACAGAGCAGGACACAGGTCCTGCAACACTCTTAAGGCTTTTCACAGAATTTTCCCCAAAATCATGCCTTGTACTCAGCAAAAGCATGGAGAAAGGAAGAGACAACTTGATGTTGCTCAGTCAGCTCAGGGGATATCAGGTGCTCCTGGGGTTTTTAATTTATTTTGGTTTCATTTGCTTTGTTTTTTAAAATTAATTAATTTAAAGGTTTTATTTGAGAGGGTCAACCCTACACTCTCAGGAATAATCAGGTTTGTTTCCTCGTTTCTTTCAAAGGAATGGAAACACTCCTGGTTTTCCTTTCCCAAACCATTTTCTGTTTGATCTCTGCACCACAGCCAGCACCAATTCCTTACTGACAGCCCTGCTCCACACAGGAACCCAGCACGGAGCACTTTGGCTGGCACTACACAGGAATCTCGAAAAAGAAAGGGAAAGTCTGGTTCATTATTCAAGCTGTGCTCTCCTGTGCTTCCACTTCAGGAAATCCTACTCCAGGTGTTTTCCAGAACACCTGCAACACCTCCTGCCTTTCTTCTGCTCTTCTGTGGAGCTGGCAAGCTTCTGGAGTTCAGTGGATTCTGCCATAAATAAATCATTTTCTCTGCATTAAACAACATCACAGCGGCACTTTTGTTCTGGGAGGGGCTGCAGAGCCCCCGTGGTCCCTCTCCATGGTGTTCACCCTTCCCATGCACCTCTGTAGGAAATCATCCTCCAAATCAGGTTCTGGCCACTGTTTGCTGTTCCCGTTTTTGGGAGGGAGATTCCTCACTGCTTCATCTCCATGAGCCACCGAGCAAGGCTGGGGCAGTTTCCAGCTTCCCAAGTGCTGCTGCTGGCACCCCGGGCTCCCCCTGCTCCTGCTGAGCTGCTGCCTCACTCCAGGAGGGTAAGGAAGACCCACTTCCATTTATTTTAATATCTACCAACAGTGTGTGGCTGCCATTCCTCCTCCCTGCCACAGCACCACTGGAAGTCTGAGACAGGGAGGGATCAAAAGTACCTTTGATGACCTGGGCTGACGTGATGTGAAGGAGATTTTTCCACTGGGTCCCACCTGGTGGATTCAATCAGACTGAAAAGCACTTGCTCTGCACCTAGTGCTCAGGATGTGTTATTTCAAAAGCTGTTCCAAACTTCTGGCTGTGTGTCTCCATAAACTCCGATTTCCCTGCAGAGGCAGCCTGGGATAATTCCTAAGTGAAAACTGATCTTAGCAAGGAATCAATCACTGGCCATTTACTAATAAAATCAAATCCTGTTTGAGTGGAATTAGCCCTTTGAAATTGTCCAGTCCTGCTTTTCCTGCTCTGGCACAAGGCCCTCTGTGCAGTTTTTCAGGAGAGCAGGTGCATCCTGGTTTATCACCTGCAGATTTCTGATACATCACATTTTGATGGTCACAGCCACAGAGAGCCAAGCTCCTCTGGGAACAAACACAAATCCAGGGATGCACTCCAGGAATTTCACCAGGAGCTGTGACTGAAATCAGTGGTGTCCACCAAACCTCGTTAGTTTTGAGGGATTTGTGTCTTCCCTCCGATGAGAATGGCCAGAAATGAGCTGGTTTTGGGGCTTCCCGGGATGGTCTGGGTTGGGGGAGCTGCTCAGGCTGAGGGGAGGATTAGAGGGCAACCTTTAAAAAGAAGGAATGGCCACCCCTGGTGTTGTCCTGGCTCTGTTTCTCCTCCATCTGGGCCAGCCTGGCATCTCCTCCACCTCCCTCACGGCATTTCCTGACAGCCCCTCCAGCAGAAATCAGAGCTGCCAGGAGCTCTGTGCCAGCCATTCCAGCAGCCCCAGCTCCTGGCAGAGCCCAGGGAGCAGCTCCCACTTCTCCCTTCAGCAGGGCCACCACCCAGCCAGCCCCAGACCTGTCCTGCTCTTTTCTCCACGGGGACAGGAGGATGAGGACGTGCAGGTGTCCCCAGCAGGAGACTCCACACTTCCATGATTCCCACTTGCACTGGCATCTCTCACTGGGTAAATATCGTTCATTAATTCCTGTCTGGGGTGAATCTGACACCACTGGATTTGGCACCACTCGTGTATAAAACTGTGCCTAGAGGGAATCACCCCTGCGGGTCTGACAAGCAAACACCACCATTCACCAGGATAATCCTGATTAATATCTCACTTATTACCACAACTCATTGAAAATGCACATTTAAATACCAAAATCCCATTTTCCATGGAAAATTTCCTCCCTTGTTCATGAGGAGAATTTTGAAGCCAACACCAGAACCTGATAAAAAACAGCTTTTTAAAAATATTTTTTCTTTTTTTTTTTTTCCAGTGGAGCACCTGCCCCTCCAGAAGCTGCTCAAGGTTTTGGATGGGAAAAAGACTTTCCAGGACTGGAGACACTGACTCCTGTCAGCAGCACAGCTGATAGCAGGCACAAAGCAAGATAAGACACTCCAGCTTATTCCCTTCCTATCAAGATGGAAGTGAACATCTTATTTACGGGGCTGGCACAGATACAGTGACCTGAGCAACAACAGGAACCAGCTCTCGTTCCACAGCGTCCTCCTGTGGCATAACATTAGGAAAATGATCCTTTTAATTAGCATGGGGAACAACAACAACAAAAAAAAATAAAAAAAATCCCAGTCTCAGCATGAAAAGCCCTGAAATCAAATGGATTCTAGCAAACAAAACCTAAATTCCTTCTATTAATGCGCTCTCTTTGTCGCAATCTCACATCAAAGAGCAAAGAAATCTCCCTGCAGGAAAAACCTCCACGGTGGCAGGTCTGGAAAAGCAGCAAACAGGATTTCACAGGTATTTCTTGGGACAACACGTCCTACTTGCTGCCATTGGGTGACGTGATAGGACACATCAGGGACAAAGTGACTTAAAATGGGTCCCTTTTGCAGCTAAATTTTATATATTTAGCACCAAACAGCGGCAGGAAGCCACGGGGTAAACACGAGGGTGAGGTGGATCCCTCTTGAAGACTCTCCTCAAGCTCTGGCACCAATAAATAATATCCCAGTGGAGTCAGCCCTTCCCAGGAAAACCCCAAGAAATAAAAGGGCACATTTCCCATTTGGAGACCCACGGGAAGGGCACCACACATCCCAGCCGAGTGTAACCCAACCCTGGCAGTGAAACTGCACCCAGAGCTGAAACCACGGGATGGAATTCTCATTTAGCATTCCCGTGGCTCTGCAGGTTTCACAGGGGGGACTCCTCACCAGCAGCACCTTTTCCCCTAAAATCTTGTTGCAGGATGTGAGGTCTGCCCCAAGTTTAGGAACCAGGACGTGATCAATGCCGTTCTCTGAGGTAATACTTTGTCATTCCTGCATTTTCTTCAAAGAGCCTCACAGAAATCCCAATTTTAACCTATTTTCCTCAGACCTGCAGAAGCCAGGAGTCGTTCTAACAGCGTGAAGCCAGTTACTCATCTTTAGTCAATTCAGCTTTTTTAATTAACAGTCTTTTAGAGAATTCCTAACCCAAGGAGCACAGGCTGCTGTTTGGGGCTGGCTGAGGCATTCCTGGCTCGGCACAGAGGGGCACCCTTGGGATTTCTGCTGGAAAAGATGGAGCAGGGCCCTGGCTGGCTGCTGTGAGGTGCAAATGTTCCCAGTTTTAATCCTCTTTTATGGAGAGAGAGGATTAGTGGTTATGCTGGACTACCACAGGAAAAGAGAATGGCAGGGGGTGACACAGGAGGGTTTGAGCAGGAGGGTGGGGACAGAGATGCCACAGCCGTGTCCCAACAAGGCTCCAAGGTGGGAAGCATCACCACGTGTCCAGCCTTGGCTCCATCTGGGAATATCCTCAGTTGGAAAGGATCCACAGGATCACCAATCCAAGCCCAGGCCCTGCACAGACACCCCAGCAATGCCACTCTGTCCCTGGCAGCGCTGTCCAAGCAGCCCCAGGGCCGTGCCCCTTCCCTGGGGAGCCTGGGCAGTGCCAGCACCCCTGGGAAAGAACCTTTCCCTGATATCCAACCTGATACCAGCCTGATACCAGCCTGATACCCAGCCTGACCTTCCCTTGGCACAGCTGAACACCATTTCCCAGATCCTGCCCCTGGTCACACAGAGCAGAGCTGCCCCTCCTGAGGAAGCTGCAGCCCCAGGGAGTCTCCCTCAGCCTCCTCTCCTCCAGGCTGGACAAACCCAGCCCCTTCCTCATCCCTGTGTTCCTCCTGTGGACACTCTCCAACACCTTTGTACCTTTTCTTGTGGTGGTGCCCAAAATGACAATGGACCACCCTAAGGATTCAGTCCTCACATGGCATTAACTCAAGATCAGCACGTGGTAAGGACAGACAGTACAGCCCTAATCACGTTTAATTATCAAACTTCCACCCAAAATGGCAGCCTGGCCACTGCTTCTTGAAGTTCGAGTGGTTCAAGAACACGTCTGCTTGGCTGCCCTGCAAAATATGCACTTGAGGAGGAAAACTCCCCAGAAAATCCTCTGGGACTAATGAACATAAGGACCTGGAGCTGCTGGAGGAAATCCAGAGGAGCCCCTCAGTTCCCAGGGATCCGGGCTGGGAGAGCTGGGAATGTTCACCTGGAGAGAAAGATCCAGGGAGAGCTTCCAGCACATTCCAGGGGCTCCAGGAGAGCTGCAGAGGGACTGGGGACAAGGGACAGGAGCCAGGGAATGGCTGCCAGTGCCAGAGGGCAGCCATGGATGGGATGTTGGCCATGAGGAATTGCTGGCTGGGCTGGAATTGCCAGAGCAGCTGGGGCTGCCCCTGATCCCTGCAGTGCCCAGGGCCAGGCTGGACACTGGGGCTGGACACTGGGACAGTGGCAGGTGTCCCTGCCATGGCACGAGATGAGCTTTAAGGTCCTTCCAGCCCAAACCATTCCACAATTCCATGATGACTCCATGACCCCAAAAAGGGAAACTGACCCTGTGCAAACCCAGCAGGTAGGTGAGAAAACCCCATGAGAAAATCCCACGTCACACTCGCAGCCTCACATCAAAATTTGTGTTTTCTGGAGGGGAAAAAATTGCATTTCCAGCCCAACTACACCAGAGAGATTTGCCTGCCAGTCTTTCAGGTCTAAAGCTGGGTTTAAACTGATCCCACACTGACAGAGCCTGCTGAGCAGGCCAGGTGCTCTCCGTGTCCCTCGGGACCCGGCTGCCTCCCACAGGGGACTCTGCACACCCAGAGAGAGCAGCCAGAACTGAGCATCCTGGAATTCCAGCCCTGACCCACCCTCACGCTGTGCTTTCCCTGCTTTGAGCATGGTGTGCAAATCCTGAGGGAATTCCAGCCTTCCACAGCCCCTCTCACAACCCCACCCCATAAGCTGAAAATGGACCATGGATTTTTATTTGCTGCCACATTCTGTTCTTCAGGTGTCTTTCACGTCTCTCCACCACCACCTCCATCTGCATACACTTCTGATTATCAGGGCTGAAGTATTCCAACCATTCCCAGGGAAATTCACAGTTTCCTTCCGGAGCAAGGGACCAAAATCACAATCTACCCCTAAATCCACGGGAATGCTCATGATGCAGAATTGATAAGCCTGAAAATAACCCAACTTTCAACCCAAAGCGACCACAAGAAGAGCTCTGAATCCACAGCTCCTTCCAGGGAGGGAAGGGAGCAGCACTATGAAGTCCCTTCTCCTTCCAAAGGGAAATCAGGAGTGAAAGGATTTTCCTGGTGCCCGAGGAAGCGACTGCAGAAGCAGCAGGAGACTCTAAAGGCTGACACCAAGAATAAACTTCTTCATTTACACAGCACTCCCCAGCATCAATAAAACATGGGCACTCGGGGCTGTGGTTTTGCAAGTATTTTTGACCCAGAGTATGAAGTTTTCCAAGTCATCCCTGTTTGATTCCTTTAATTAGATGCTTATGTAATGAACAGTGGGAGGGACTCGGTTACTCCTGGATTGGATCACAAGCAAGCGTGGTCTGTGAGTGAAAATACACTTTCATGGCTTTTCCCTTCTGTGTTTGAGGTCAGCTGAATTTTGTAGGTCTGAACAAGTTGAGTTTCCCTCCGAGTCGCTGCAGGATCTGAGCAACCCATTTATTATTTATAGGCAGCACACAAACAATTCACACATCTGCCAAACAAAAACAACAACAAAAATAATGCTCTGAACCAAGGAGGCTCCTGCTGCCATCCTCCAGCACAAAACCAGGCTCCACACCCCGGCAAAAGGGTGAGAAAGGGTGCAAAACAAGAAGGGAAGGAGGTGCTGGAATTCCCAATCCTACTGAGATGGAATCCACCTGCCATCCACAGCATCCACAGGGTTTTTGTACAGCTACATCTTTTTTTTCTTCCAGGAGGGAAAAAAGATGGAATTTCATTGACATCAAAATGTCAGCGTGGATCAGGACACGCTGAGAGCTCCACCAAACACAGCCCACAGCTCCCTGGGTTCCATCTGGCACTGCAAGGGATTCCCTCTTGGAATTCTTCTTGGATTCTGGAGTCTGGCAAGCAGCTCATCCACAACAAACCCAGAGCAGCCTCAGAGTCCTGCCCAAAAACCTGGGGAAAACCTCTCACACTCGGGTGGAACACAGGGACAGCTCCTGGCTGTAGCTGTGCTGATCCCAAAGGATAAGTAAGGGGCTCTGAGGTTTCCCAGGAATTGGACAAACCCCAACCAGCCCTCCCCCTGGCAACTGCATCAGCCCCCAGTTTTGGGGGAAAAAAACCCCAGAAGGACCAGAATTGGGGAATACACGAATATTGAACCCCACTGCAATTGCTGCAGTGGGCACAGAACAAATCTGAATTTCCCCAAGGCTGGGAGGTCCTGGATGCTCCAGGTGAGAGGTTCCTCCTCCCTGGCACAAAGCCTTGCACAATTCTGGGCCTTAAAACTTTTCTCACACTCCACTGCAACCTTTAGGTCAGGAAGTGGAGAGGGCTTCTGGTGGGAGTTCTAGTTTGAGAGATAAAAGTCACCAGTGATGTTCCCAGTTCTATAATTTGCCATGTTTGGAAACCACGGGGGTTTTGCCAGGATTTATTTACCTGGTTTGGATTCACAGGCAAAACGAGCTGATGAAGAGATCCATGAGAGCAGACACACAAATCCAATCACTAAAATAAGAGAGAAATGGATCAGGGCAGGGGTGTGGACCTGCACCCCACAGTGGGAAAGCACTAAAATGACCTAACAAAAGCTGAATTCCAAACCCTAAGAGGATGGATTCCCTTTAAACACACCCAGGGACAGGGTTCCACTTCACCCAAGGGAATGGCTGCAGCTCTGTCAGGGGGTTTAGGCCAGATTTTGGAAAAGGTTCTTTCCCCAGAGGGTATGGGGCACTCAACAGTACCAGTAAAATCCTCACTGTGCAGCAGAAGTTATTTTAAACCCCCCAAAAAAGTGGTTTAAAATTATTTTATTAAATACCTTGGGCACTGGGTAACACAAAATATCTGAACTGTGTGGTTTTTTCCCACAGATCAACTTCAGAAGCAGCCTAAGGAAGATAAAAGTCCAAGGCTGAATTCCACAGAACTCCCTGCACCAAAAATCATCAACACAACCCCACCACTCCTACTGACAGCACAAAATGCTCTGATGTAGAAAAGAGTGGATTAAATTTCCTTGGTAAAAGGGATTCAGGAGCACAGCAGAGTTCACTGTGCCCTGCTGCCTTCCTGGAAGACAATTTCCCAGATGAGAGGAAGGTAATGCATAAAAAATAATAATTCCCAAACTCTTCAAGAGAGAGGAACTGCATGGAGACCTCCCTCCTTTGGAAAAACAATGGAAATATTCCCAGAGCTTGTGCATGCACATGGCAGAAGTTGGACATGACCAGCACGGACACCAAGAGTGGTCCCAGTGCTCCCAGTCTGGGCTCCTCCACTCTCCAGGGATTCCTTGGTGTCTCCTAAAGCCTGAAATATTCCAGGCCTGAGCTTGCCAGAGGTTAAACTGCCTGGTTTAAGGCTGAAAAAAGGTGATCCAGGTTCCTGAGAGACAGAAAAGTGATGAATTCCCAGCATGTGAAGAATTCCTCACGCCATGACACGCGTGGGCTGCAGGTGGACACCAGAGCAGCTGAGCAGGCTCAGGGAATCTGAACAGGGAATTCCAGACAATTAAAGGCAGGAAAAACCCCACGGTGGCCAAGCTCCCTTGGAGCAAAGAGCTCTTTGCTCATGGAATCGTGGAGTTGGGGAAGCCCTCTGAGAGCAGAGAGTCCAACATCAACTCAGCCCCACCGTGCTCACCGCCAAACCACAGCCTCAGGTGCCAGACTGGACAGCTCCAGGGGTGGGGATTCCACCACTTCCCTGAGCTCAATCCCCCAAATTTGCCATTTTCCTGGGGGAGCAGCACGGAGGCGCAACCTCCCACCCACACCAAGGATCCTCACTGCCAGGGCTGGGTTTTCCAGGATGGTTTCATGGAACTTCTGCAATGTTTGTTGTCCTGGCCAAGTCACCTCTGTCACGCCACACATCTCCTAAACCCTAAAGTATTCCAAGAGCTGCACAAAACCCGCAGGGGATGAGGCTGAGGGCTCCCAGCTCGCCATGTTTATGGCCTGTGCACAAGAGGTCACCACAAAACCTCACAAAAATGACGTGAGGCTCACGGAAAACAACCAGGATGCAACAGAACTCCACAGAAACCAACTGAGACAGTCTGCAAAACACCAAACACACCCAGAAACCACAGAGGAAGATGAGAGGATTGAAATGAACCCCGGGCTGTGGCACTCGCTGGAATCATGGAGTGGGTTGGGTTGGAAGGGATCATAAATCCCATCCCATCTTCCCACCATCCCAGGCTGCTCCAAGCCCCATCCAGCCTGGCCTTGGACATTTCCAGGGATGGATGGGCAAGGTTAAAACCTGGGAAAATTCAGTGGTTACAATCCTCAGCTTTCCACAAGCACCATCATCATCATCATCATGCACTTCCTTTCTCCCTCAACAGGAAAAAAAAATAAAAATCATTGCTCCCAGTTTTACCACCAGCACGAAAATTTCAATGAAGATGAACAAGTGTCTCACCTATTTCCTCAATATTTGGGAATTGAAACTTCACTGTGAGAGGATTTGGAAGTTGTGATGTGGGTGAAGGAGAAGAAAGGATGAAGTTCACATGGGGAATGCTCTCAGGATCTGGGAAGAGGATCTAAAACCATGCTCAGAGACCAGCAAGGCTTAGAAACAAAACCTCAACAGCCAGGCCCTGCCTGAGGGATTAAAAATCCCAAATCCTGGAAATAACAGTCCAGTGAAGGAGAAAAAAAAATAACACAAACACAAAGCAGAGTTCCCAAACTTGGACAGAGAAAACATCTCCCCATGCAACAAAAATCACCTGCAGCTGCAAGAAAGCTTAACTTGGTCACCTCAAATGGAGGAAGAGTCCTGAGCTGAATTATTTCTGTCCCTTAATTATTATTTACACGAAAAAGGGCCTGAGCACCTCAGTCACAGGCAGGTCTGTCCTGAGCCAGATGTTTTAGAGCACTTTTTTTGGGTATTTTAACACATAGCCAGTCACACCCCTTTTTTATAGGCAATTCACAGCCAATTTTTGGGTATTTTAAATGGAGGGGAGGTGAGTGATTAACAGGTTTCAACTCGCTCCCAACCTCCTGGACAGAGGGAGGAAAATTATACATGTGCAGAATGTAAAGAAAAATAAAAGGGAGGGGGAAAAGGGGGTAAAAGGGGAAAAAAGAGGGGTGACAGAGAAATAAAGGGGGGGAAAGGGAGAATGAAGGGGAACTTCATCAATGAGCTCAGAGGTCTTTTCCAGCCTAACTGGTTCTGTGATTCGGGAAAGAAATAGGAGGTGAAGGGGGAAAAAAACAAAGAGAAAGGGGAGAAAAATGGGGCATGAAGAGGAGCTTCATCAAGGCTGGAGTCTTTTATCTCTGAGGCATTTTACAGCTTAATTGATTATGGGAGGGAAAGGGGAGATGAAGGGAAAAAAATGGGGTGAAGAAAAAAAGGGGGTGAAAAGGAAAAAAAAAGGGGGTCAAAGGAAAAAAAAAAGGGGAGATTAAAAGAAAAAAAAAAGGGGTAAAGAGTAAAAAAATGAGGGTGAAGGCAAAAAAGTGGGGGTGAAGAAAAAAAGGGGGAGGGTTAAGGGAAAAAAAAAGGGAGTGTAAAGGAAAAAAAAGAGGGGGTGAAAGGAAAAAAAGGGGAGGTTAAAAAAAGGGGGGTGAAGAGTAAAAAAATGGGAGTGAAAGCGAAGAAAAAAAAGGAGGGATTAAGAAAAAAAGGGGGGAGGGTTAAGGGGGAAAAAAGGGAGTGTAAAGGGAAAAAAAGAGGGGGTGAAAGGAAAAAGGGGAGATTAAAAAAAGGGGGGTGAAGAGTAAAAAAATGGGGGTGAAAGCAAAAAAGTGGGGGTGAAGGCGAAAAAAATGGGTGAAGGCAAAAAAAAATAGAGGTGAAGAAAAACAGGGGGGATGAAGAAAAAAAAGGGGGAAGGGTTAAGGGGAAAATAAAGGAGGGATAATGGAGGAGGAGAAAAAAAAAAAAAGAAAAAGGTGGCTCGGGCCAAAAGCAGGAAAGCAGGGGCTCCGAGAACGGCAGGAAAAAGGGCGAAGCAAAAGCCCCGCCAATGTCTGCGGCCGCGGCCCAACTTCCCCGCCCGGCCCGGCCGGGCCCGGCTCGGCCCGGCCCTGGCTCCGAGGCCGCCCCGCACCCGCCGCCCCCGCGGCGGAGGAGGCCGGGGACAGCGAGAGGGGGGGAGCGGGACGTATGGCGTCATAGCGCCGCGCCGCCGCCATCTTGGGGAGGGCGAGGGCGGCGGGGGCGGCCATAGGCGGGAGGTCGGCGCCATCTTGGGGAGGGCGGGGAGGCCATAGGAGGGAGGTCGGCGCCATCTTGGGGAGGGCGTGAGGGGGGCCGGCGCCATCTTGGGGAGGTCGCGGCCGTTGCCGCCTCAGGGGCGCGGGGCCTGGGCAGGGCGGGAGCGCTGCTGAAAAAGGGCACGGAAATTGAGGGGAAAAGCGCTTGAAATAAATTTATTTTGGAGATATTTGTGGTGGGGGAATCCAGTTTAAAATGGAAGTTGCGGAAAAATAAATTTTAAATAGATTTTTTTTTCTTTGTCATATTTTTGGTGGGAAAAATCAGTTTAAAGTTGTTTTTTCCTCACATATTTTTGGTAGGAAAAATCAGTTTAAAATTGATTTTTTTTTCCTCCCGTATTTTTGGTGGGAATAATCAGTTTAAAATTGATTTTTTTTTTCCCTCGCGTATTTTTGGTGGAAAAATCCACTTTGAAATAGAAGTTGCAGAAGAATCCGTTTTAAATAGATTTTTGTCATATTTTTCATGGGGAAAACCAGCTTAAAATAAAAAGTTTTTTGGCGTCTTTTTGGTGGACAAATCCAGTTTAAAATGGGAGTTGCGGGGAAAACAGTTTAAAATAAAAATTTTTTTTGCATGTTTTTGGTGGAAAAACCCAGTTTGAAATAGAAGTTGCGAAAACATCAGTTTTAAATAGAATTTTTTTGTTTCATGTTTTTGGTGGGGAAAGCGCATTTAAAATAGAAGTTGTGGAAAAATCAGTTTAAAATACGTTTTTTTTTCCCTTGGCCTTATTTTTGGTGGAAAAGCCAGTTTAAAATGGAAGTTATGGAAAAAACATTTTAAAATTAAAAAAATTTTTGGCATGTTTTTGGTAAACAAATCCAGTTCAAAATGGGAGTTGTGCAAAAATCAGTTTAAAAGAGAAAGGTTTTTTTCATATTTTTGGTGGGAAAATACAGAGTAAAATGGATGTTGCAGAAAAATCAGTTTAAAATAGATTTTTTTCCCCCATATTTTTGGTGGAATAATCCAGTGTAAAATGGAAGTTGTGAAAAATTCAGTTTAAAATGTATTTCTTTTCCCCCCCCCATATTTTTGGTGAGAAAATCCAGTTTAAAATGTAAATTCCTGGAAAATGCCTTTCAAAATAGGCATTTTGAAAAAAAAAAATCTCTAAAATAATTTGGTGATGGTTTGGTGGGGGGTTTTTTGCGGGTTTATTTTTGGGGGGGTGGGGGTTGGTTTTTTTTTTTTTTTTTTTTTGGGGAAAAAAAATCCTTTTTAAAATGGATTTTTCTTGCATTGTTTTGGTGGAAAAATCCATTTTAAAGTGGAAACTGGGGAAAAAGCCAATTCAAAATTGAAATGTTTCCCTTACTCTTTTGGTGGAAAAAAGTACAGTTCAAAACTTTTAAATTATATTTTTATTTAAGATACAGTACAAAAGGGAAAATTCCCCCTTTCTTTTGTGGGAGAACCAGGTTTAAAGTTTACTTCTTTTCCCCATTTTGGTGGGAAAATCCATTTTAAAATTTCATTTCCCCCATTTTCTGTGGAAAAACCCAGTTAAAAATACAAATTGTTTCTGTTTTCTGTGGAACTCACAATTCACCTGGACTTTCAGTGGGACTTAATAATATTAAAGACCAATGTAAACAATTCCACGCTTTAGGGAGCTGGAAAATAAATAAGGATTTAAAACACAGAGGGGAAAGGAGCTGAGGGAAGCGATAAAAATGGGTGTAAATCCGTGGGGGTTTTGACTTTTGAGGTGGAGTTTGATACCTGATTCTCTGAAGCTGACAGGTTGTTTTTTTCCTTAGGAATGACATGGAAAACACAACGGGGACAGGCACGAGAAGAGTTCCCAGAAGTTGTTTAAGAGCAGCCTGGAAAGCGAAATATTTTCAGGGATGTCTCTTCATATAGAGACAATTTGTGTTTCTTCCATGCTCAGTGCTCGAGGTCTGGGGGGTCAAAAATTCCTTGGGATTTGAATTAATTACCATATATATGTGTGTGTATATATATATACACATACACACACACACGTGTATATACATGTGTGTGTGTATATATATATGTATAATATATATTATATAATTAATATAATATATATTAATATGTATCTTCCTTTTATATATGTACATATCTGTGTAATATATATTATATATATAATATATTAATACATTTCTACTTATATTTTTATATATATTTCTACTTATGTATTTATATCTCTATATCTATAGGTGGATAGATATATGTGTGTATAGATATGTATATGTATAATATATATATAATATATATAAATATATATTACTATATATATACTTATATATGTGTATATATGTATAATATATATTATATATAGTCTAATATAATTAATATAAGATATATTAATATATATCTACTTTTTATATATGTGAATATCTGTATAATATATATTATATATATAATATAGTAATACATTTCTACTTATATTTTTATATATATACTTATATATTTATATCTCTATAGGTAGAGATTCTATGGGATGTGGGATCCCTGCAGGAGGAAGATCCTGGAGAAAGGCAGATTCATGTGAGGCAGCAGGAAAACCCCACAGGGGTGGGATGTGACAGGTGACCCGGGTTTGGGGTTTGGGAGCAGTTTGGACAGAGCAGGGCTCAGGAATGCTGCAGGGGCAGCTGCTCCTGCCTGGGGCAGCAGGCTGGGTGGGGATGTCCCATCCAGTGCACATTTCCAAGGGCTGATCCAGACATGGGATTGGGAAAGTGCCCAAAATCCCCCAGTCTGTGCTGCGGAGTGCTGGCACGTGTGGTCTCTTTTTTGTGGAAAAAAACCCCAACAAACATATTTACCATGGATTTTTCTTTCCTTATTTTGGCAGAAAAATCCATTTTAAAGTGGAAGTTGTGGGGGAAAGCCAGTTCAAAATGGAAATGTTTCCCTTATTTTTTTGGTGGGAAAAAATACAGTTTAAACCAGAATTTAAAAAAAAAAATTTTTTTCTAAGATGCAGTACAAAAAGGAAATTTCCTCCTTTTTTTTCCTACCTCTGTGACAAGCAAAGGAACAGCATAGATGATCCAGAGAAGCATAATTTCCCTTTCCCTTTGGAAATCTGAGCTCCAGCACACGCCTCCCTGGGTTCTCCTGTAAATCCAGGCTGTGCTGGGCCATAATCCCACGTGAAAAATTTGGGAAAAGACTTAACTGGGAATGCAAACGTGGCAGCAGAAGGAAGAGAGCCATGGGAGTGCTGGAGGCTGGTCAGGAAATGCCAAATTCAGGGAAAGCCTGGGGAGGAACAACCACGGGGAAAGGTTTAGATGTGCCCATTCCTGGGTCTGGGAAGGGACAAGCACAGGAAAATCATGGAATTTTGTGGAAGGGGCTTGGAAGGGAATTTAAGGATCATCCAGCTCCACCCCTGCCATGGGCAGAGAGACTTTCCATTATCCCAGAGTCCTGGGATGATGGGAAGGGTTTAAATGTGCTCATTCCTGGGTCTGGGAAGGGACAAGCACAGGAAAATTGCTGAATCCTGGAAGGGGCTTGGAAGGGAATTTAAGGATCACCCAGCTCCACCCCTGCCATGGGCAGAGAGACTTCCCATTATCCCAGATTCCTCCAGCCTGGCCTTGGACACTGCCAGGGATGTGGAGTCCACAACCTCTCAGACAACCTGAAAAAAAATGAAGAAACCACTGACTCTGAGAGACACAAACAGCATTTTTCAAACATTCACGATACAGATGGGAGGGTAGAGAGCACAGCTGCAGCTCCTTGGCCTTTTTCTTCTCTCCCTCTTTTCCAGAGTGAAAAGAAAATGGCATCCACTGCTTTCCTTAAAGTGCTGGACAATTCCTTTTCCTTGACCCAGAGGTGGGGCATCTGAGAGGTGTTTTAAAAGCCACAAAGCCATTCCCCACATAAAGTGTGTCCCAAACATTACACAGAGGCAGCACACGGAGCTCCCCAAAATGCACTGCTGCCGTGACAGAGCTGTAAACCCTCTCACCGTGGGATCCAGCCTCACTCCAGAGCACTCTCCCTGGGGAGAGAACTCCCTGAGCACCCCGAGAGGGTGTCCAGGAGGTGCTTTTGTCCCATTTTGCTGGGTTTTGTGGTGTCCCCGTGGCTGGGATCCAGCCTCACTCCAGACCTCTCTCCTTGGGGACAGAACTCCCTGAGCACCCCGAGCAGGGTGTCCAGGATGTGCTTTTGTCCTGTTTTGCTGGGT